GAAGCAGTCTCCTTGGCCTTTGGTTAATTATATCTTCCAATTATTGAAGCAATGATTGTTCCCATTGTGAAGATAATAGGATGGGGATGCAGAGAGGTTGAGGGACTTGTTTAAAGCCACGCAGCACAAGTAGTACAATTGGGACTGGCACCCCCATCAGTCTTGCCCCCGAAGCCAGCCTTCCTTGCCTCAGTTTCCCTCAGCTGCACTGGACATTGGAAGCTGTGCCTCCGTGGGGCTGCAGTGTTGCCCTGGGCAGGTCCAGGACGGGTAGACAGGGAGTGTGGCGCTCTGCCAGCAGCCCAGATGGAGTCTGAGACTCCGGGACGTACCTAGGCTGTCAGTTATGTGCCCAGCTCTCTGAGCATCTGTCAGGGCGTCTGATGTGTCAGGGCCCACCCGCTGGCGGTTGCTCCTCACCCTGCCCTCCCCTCCCGGAGGCCTTGCCATGTCGGTCCAGGCCGTGTCCCTCGTGTTTGGTTGAGACATGGCTACGAGGTTCAGGGTGCTGGGCTGGGTCCGCCTGGACTCCAGGGGGCTGAGGGGAGGACGATGTGTGCAGCCACCTCCTGTGCCACCCTCTGTGCCAGCCGCTGTGCGTGCAGGGGGACCAGACCAAGCGCACTCTGCCCTCCGGGGCTTCTGGTCTCGTGGGTGCTTGTGGGCCTATTCCCTGGGCTGGGGGAGGTTCGTGGGGAGATGGGAGTTGGGTTTGGGATTGGTACCGGTAAGGGCCCTTGGCTCTCATAGGGAGTGGGCCAGCCAGGGGCCCAGAAAAGGCGTCCAGCCTGAACACAGGGGTCACTAGCTCGGTAGGCAGGAGTGAGCAGGCAGACGGCTGGGGTCCCTAGTGGGGGAGGAGTGGCCGGAGGTGGGGGAGGGGCCCCGAAGCCCAGGAGGAGGGGCTGCGGAGGAGTGTGAGACACTGAGGTCTGAGAGGCTGTCCTGGGAGGGTCAGACTTTGGGGACTGGGAGATCATGCGATGGGTGGGGGCCTTCAGGGAATTAAGCCATCGGGATGAAGGAGCAAAGATAACTGAAGACATTTATTCCAGAAGTGCTGGCGGGAGGGGCCAGAGGGAACGACTGTAAATGATGGCTGGATGGGGCCTGGGTCGAGGTTTCCCCCTCAGGGCCGGACTTGGAGAGAGTGCTGCTGTTTTCTGCGGGTGCGGCTGGGGAGTTCTAGGGAAGGCTGGTGAAACAGGAAGTGGGTGTGTGAGGCCTGGCAGCCCAGAGCACCCTGTGGTTGTGCCCTAGGCCTGTTGGCCAGCTGGTTTGGTGTCACCTCTAAGCATCAGAAATCAGTTGACTCCTCTTCCTGCTCTGTGTGTACTTGCTGTGTGACCCTGGGCAGGTCTCTCTCCCTCTCTGAGCCTTCATTCCTGGCTAATGGGAGTGAGGATGAGGGAGGGGCAGGTGGGGATCACCTGACTCAGGGCCTCCAGGCCTCAGACACTAATGATCTTCTCACCTCTGCCCTCCCAGGTGCCCCTTGGGCCGCCCACACAGCCCTCTGCTGGCTTGTCTTGGCCTCCCCGCCCTGGGCAGCGGCCACCATGTTCTCCTGCGTGAAGCCCTACGAAGAACAGAACTACTCAGCCCTGAAGCGGGCCTGTCGGCGCAGGAAAGTGCTCTTTGAAGACCCCAACTTCCCAGCCACCGATGACTCGCTGTACTACAAGGGCACCCCGGGGCCTGGCGTCAGGTGGAAGCGGCCCAAGGTCAGTGTCTGGTCTGCATTGGAGCTGAGGCCAGCAGGCCGGGACCCACCCAGGGTGCAGGGCACAAGGGGGAGCGGGGTGGGGGGGGATCCCGAGGCCTCAGGTGGCCGAGAAAGTGGAGGGGCTGATGCTGGGCCCTCCTGCTGTGGGGTTTGATGTGGATGGGGGAAGGGGGTGCCAGGAGAATGGGCCCTCCTCCCCACTGCCCTGCCAGGACTCACCCCCTCTCTAGGCCTTAGCTTCCTCTGCCCTGTCACCCTCCCAGGGTCCCCGTTGGGATAAAAATGAGGTGATGTGACCTTTCTTAGTGAAATTCAAGCGTAAGTGACGTTTAAGTCCCATTTAGTGACGTTCAAGAGCAAGGCATAAACTTTGCTGATTATGTTCATAATGACTTTGAAATAGTCATTTGCTGTAAGTGGCAAGTACTTATTACGATGATTAATCAATAATAATAACAGTAGTAAAAACTAATAGCTCTTCCTAGGGTTGTTGTGAGCAGTAAAAGAGACGGTGCCTGGGAGCCTGGCTCGGAGCCTGGCGCCCAGTCCAGACGGGGATGGCGAGTTATGTGGCATCTGGCTGGCTGCTCCCGTCCTGGCCTCTAGCTGAGACTAGAACGTGGTTAGTGGAAGTGCTTGGCCTCCTGGCTTGACTTCATCCTCTTTAACCTCGATTCCTGAGTCTGAGGGTGGGTGCCCTCAGGGCCTAGGTGATGGGGAGGCTGCTGGAGGCCACCTGTGAGCGTGGGTCCCACGGGAGGGACCAGTGCAGGAGACTGAGCCGGGCCGGAGGGCTTGGGCCGGGAGACTCCCGCTGCCCGATCATCAGAGAAGGCGTTTGCCAGGAAGGGCTGCGCAGGCCGGAGGCGCAGTGTGAAGACACGGCGTGGAACCCTCCGGGGCATCTGGGACACGGCGGTGCCTCGGGGCCTGGCTTGTGGAGGGCGGTGAGGGGAGGTGGAGGCTGGGGCCCTGGTCCTCAGGGCGGTGTGCTCTGGGGCGGCGGGGCTGTGGAAGGTGAGATGCTCTGCAGTGTGCGGGTCAGATGAGCACTAGAAAGTTCCCTCTGAGCACCTGCACGTTGGGGGAAATGAAGTTTAGTTTTCATGTTCCTCTCCTAGACTGTGATCTCCAGTCCATGCTAACTCAAAAAAGAAAACCCTGTGTATTTCCTTAGACTGAGTAAGGAAGGGAAACTGAGGCTGAGAGGGGAAGGTGGGTGCCCGGAGTGTCCAGCGAGCCATCAGCAGAGCTGGGCAGGGACCCAGGAATCCTGCCTTCTGCCCCTCCCCTCCCCCCGACAGCAGAGAAAGGGTCCATGCTGCCTTGACCTCAGCCCCAGGAGCCACACTAGAATCTCCAGAACTCCCAGCAGCCTCCTGGCGCGGCCACAGATTCCTGCCTCTTGGGCCACCGCTCCCACGCCTTTCTCTCTCCTTTGTCCGGCTTTGGGGAAGGAGGCCGGCCTCAAAGGGCCTTTGTGAGGCCTTGGGTGAGAGGAGGAGGGGGAGACACCCGAGCTCTCTGCTCTCCTCTCACTCCACCCTTTGCTGCCTCGTCCTGACCCTCTCCTGCCCTCCTGCCGTCACCCGGACATTTTTGGTCCATGGCTGTGTAGGAGGCTGGTGAGGCCTGGCTGGGGAAGTTGGGGCTCGGTGCCCTGAGAGGAGGAGATGCCAGGCTGGTGGGCTCAGCACCCCCTGCTGTGTGACCCCAGCGGAGTGTCTGCCCTCTCTGGGCCTCCCTCTGTCCCTGCCACACCGCCTCCTCTCTCACCACCGTCCTCACTGGGCTTGGTGCCTGGTCCCTTCCAGACCCTGGAAGAGGAGGAACAGAGACACCTGGGTGTGCAGGCACGTGGAGGTCCGTGTGGAGGGGGACGCGCCTGAGCCTGAGCGGGCCGGCCTCGGTGGGGGATCAGCTCCAGGCAGGCCTGGCTGAGTGGTGGTGGAGGGGGTGAGACCACGGGGACCAGGGTGTGATGGGCTGTCCCTCCGTGTGTCAGCAGGGCCTGTGTCCCGGGCGGGCTCACCCCACTGACAGGATGGGGTTTGGTGGAGCAGGAAGTTGGGCCAGGCTTGCCTTGGGCGGGAGGGGGGGCCGGCCTCGGTTGGGGATCAGCTTCAGGCAGGCCTGGCTGAGTGGTGGTGGAGGGGGTGAGACCACGGGGACCAGGGTGTGATGGGCTGTCCCTCCGTGTGTCAGCAGGGCCTGTGTCCCGGGCGGGCTCACCCCACTGACAGGATGGGGTTTGGTGGAGCAGGAAGTTGGGCCAGGCTTGCCTTGGGCGGGAGGGGTGAGGGGGCCCAGCAGGGTGACCATTAACTCCCTGCTGCTTGGCCCTCGGCCTGAGAGATCATTGCAGCTGCTGCCTTTCTGTGGAATCCCACTTCCTGGTCCTGTGACCTGACTGTTTACAAACAGAGCAAACGCCAACTTTCCCAACAGCAGGGGAGGCCCTTCTTCACTCTCAGGCGCCTCCCGCTCCCCCTCTGCTGTCGAGGGCATCGCGGCCTCTGTGTTCTTGGAGGAGCAGCTCAGC